ATGCGATCAGATGTGTCACTTTATAAAAAATATCTTTCAAAGTTTTAAGCACTAAATCATTTCTACTTAATAATACTAACTACAGTAACCGGTAATTTTATACATTGTTGGCAGTCATACAAAAATCTAATTCTATCTTCCTGATTGAATACAGGTGAGACCTTTATCTTATTCAACAAGCAGATTAAGGGAAACAGGAGAGAGCTGATTCAGTTTGGTGTTCCAATTTTTGGACAGATCAAGGAGGAAACTACAAGTAATAATCAATACTAGTAATACATACTACAACTATCTAATAAATTTGGTTCAATTTGTCAAAATTTTGGTTTGGTTCTTATCAATGATGCAGTCTATGCAGTGAATGCTAAATTCCAAAGCTAACTTTAATTTGACATTTGTCTTTGTAGGCAATATAGGGCCAATTCCAGCTCTTCTCCAAGATGTGGTTGATCACTTTGTACTGTGGCAACTAATTCCAGAGTATAAAAGACCAAATGGTTGCATCATCAACTTCTTTGAGGAGGTATTCTATGTTTTGCTGCATTATCATGTTACCTCCTCTGTTATTGCTTACTAGAACATAGCTGCAAAGAGGGCGCTTCACACGATTGGTTTGTGTTGTGAGTCTTGGTTTATGTACTTTTGGTTCAATTTTAAGAGATAAACAAATGAAATCACAATTATTTCTTGTGTAGGGAGAATATTCACAGCCATTCCTGAAACCACCCCATTTGGACCAGCCCATCGCTACTCTTCTCCTCTCTGAATCAACGATGGCTTTTGGGCGCACCCTTCTAAGTGATAATGATGGGAACTACAAGGGGCCGCTGATGCTCTCACTGAAAGAAGGGTATGTATTCTTAATTCTTTTGAATTTCAATTACATATCTATTAACTGTGGCTGTGATTGGGATGGATCAACTCATGGTGATGGAAAGCACAAACATTGAATGTAACTTCTGCAGGTCTCTTTTAGTTATGAGGGGAAACAGTGCCGACATGGCAAGACACGTCATGTGTCCGTCTCCAAATAGAAGGGTGAGCATCACATTCTTCAGAGTTCGAGTAGACTCCAACCAATTCCAGTCACCACCAAGTCCAACACAGAATGGTGCCATGACTCTATGGCAACCTGGCGTTGTGAGTCCATATGCAGTGCAAGATGGAGCTCTCAATGGCTATGAGGGAATGGATGTAATGCCCAAATGGGGTGTCCTTCGGGCTCCAGTGGTCATGCTGGCCCCAGTTCGGCCTATGGTATTGAGTCCTCGAAAAGTTCCTCCAAGTGGTACTGGGGTTTTCTTGCCCTGGACTGTGGGATCAAGAAAACCAGCAAAGCATCTCCCACCTCGTGCCCAGAAAGGACGGCTTATGGCGCTCCCATCCCCGCCAGAAACACATGCGGGTGAGTCCACTTCTGAGCCAGGCATCAGTGTGTAATGGAAGAGCATCGGTATGAAGTTAGTCAGAGGCAGCCCTGGGTCCAACGATATGAATCAGAAAAGTTAGCATTCATGTTCACATCCTTGTTCTGCAGGATTTTTCTTGTTGTACAAACAGAGCCTAGGTGCTGTTAGAGGAGTCTGTTTTTCTTTTTTCAATTTGCTTTCCCCCTTGTTTTCCTCAGTAAGATTAGGGTGCTAGCACAATGGTTACAGTACTTTTCTGGGATGCCGATCATGTTAGGGCTTCGGAGGTAGTTGAGCATCAAGTTTGTGGAGTGTGAATTAGCTCAAGTAAGGAGCTGAATTTTGTATTAAGTTAATGCTAAAGGATTTCATAGACAGGTTATATATTATTTTCTTTACAGAATCGTATTTTCCTACTAATGTCCAGGCTTGTGAATTAGCATCTCAATGTTTGATCAATTTACTTTTGAGAAGTTCTACTTCTAATCTCAATCTCAATTGCCATTTGGAAACCAATGCTGTATTATTTTTTTCAGGTTCCTCGGAACAGGGGGATATTCGGAGCTATAATTGAAATTCAGAAAGAGCCATTACATTCAAACCAAAAACAAACAAATTACAATTTTTTTTAAATTTAAAAAAAGAAAGAAAGCAGAACATGAAAACCACACCAAAAAAAACCAGAGAGTTGAAACAAAAATGACTGGAGCGGCGTCAACATCCCCCACCAGGGGGGCAAATATGCATGTTTTCCACATGACACTCAATATCAATGCCGCACCAAGGAGTCAAGGACAAGGGATTTGGTTATAATCATGCACCAGACTTTTCTGTTGACGGTGAGAAGTCAGGATTGAATTGTTTGTTGCCCTGGACATCTTTTGTTTAGTAGTGTTAAATGCCATAGAAGAAACACTTCATACTTGGAACTGGGATTATATACTCACACAATACAGTTTTAATCCATACACATACCAGAATATTTCCAAAAATAAGAAAATGCATAACAGAAGGCAACCAATGTGTCTAATTTTTTTTGCCAAGTAATGGTCACAATTCACAAATCAATGAAAAGTAATGCTTTTATAGACAAGGCTGGGTTCAAGACTTCGACTTGACAAATTCAGATGCAAAGGAACATATTTGCATTTTGAACCAACTAATAGAAAAGAAAAGAAAAAAGAATTCCCCCTGGACATTATATCACACTTACAGGAATAGATTTTGGGGAGAATACAGAATTTAGTGCACTAAATTTAAAAAGCAACAACTTTAAATTCAATTGCCAATCAAGGTTTAGCCGGTTCATCATCTTCATCCTCGATATCCCAGCTCAAGTCTTCTTCTTCTTCTTCTTCAGCAGTGCTGAGCCGCTTCCGCAGGTCAGCTTTAGTAGAACTTCCACTTCCAACATGGGTCACCTTCTTTTCATCAATGCTGCTAAGATCCTCAATCTCATCCCAGCCAAGGTCTTCTTCCTCGGGCGCTGAGGACCGGTTTGAAACAACCAAATCATCGCCAGATTCAAGAGCCTCATTCTTCCCCTCCAAAGCCACTTTCTCCTCAGACTTCGATGGCAAATCTTTCTTCCCAGAGTCCCCTTCTACAATAACTTTCTTTTCAGTCTCCTTATCACCACTCAAATTCACAGCACTACCATTCTTCTCTTTATCCATTTCAGGGCTCATCCCTCCCTTCTCATCAAGAACACTGGAAGAAGTCCCAGTAACTTGAGATTCCTCAACAGAGCTGCTCTCTTCCTTGACATTCATTTTCTCAGAATCTTTGCTGACCAACTCCCTATTTGCCGCTAAATAACCCTTCTTCGACCCCACATTAGCCTCTTCACCCACACTGCTCACCTCTCCCACATTAGAGGAACTCTTATCACCAACCTCACTATCAACCTTCAAGTCCTCAATTTTCTCAACTTTACCAGTAGCAGCCCCTTCAGTATTTTTCGCTGAATTCGCTTTCGACACCAAATTGCTCACACTTTCATCATACTCTTCATCATCAACATCCCAACTCAATTCCTCATCTTCTTCAATCGAAATTGCCCGCTTAACAAGATTGGCTCTAACATCCTCAGCTTGCCTGAGCTTATAAACCTTGTAAAAGTACCTACACCAAAAGGTTTCATGATCAACACTACTTGGAACGACCCTTTCGTAAATGCTCTCCATAGCTCCATTTTCTTCAAACAGCCCCTCAATTTCTTCACTTCTGTCTTCCAAAACAAACCCTGATTTCCATTTGTTAAATTCATCCAAATCCTCAGGTTCCTCACAGTAAGTTCCGGCGTCACCTTGAATCGCACGGACCTGAACGTCAAACCTACTGTACCGTTTCGAATTCAAGCCCTGCTGAGAGCTAAAGCTCTGACTGTTGGGATCGGAGGAATCTGATTCGTGATCAGGGGCGAGGATCGCGTCCGTACCTTGAGAGATGATCTGGGCCGTCCCTTTCAAGACGGTGTTGCCAAACTCATCAATGACGCTCCCAACTGTCTCCAACGACCCCTGAGCCACCTCGATCTCTTTCTTCAGACCCGACCCGAATTCCTGGAGGTCGCGACGGTAGGTCTCGATCACTGACTCGGATTTGGTCGCTAGGGTTTTAATAAGATCGCCAAACATCCACCCACCACTATTGCCACTTGGGTTTGGATCGGGTTGGCTTGGTGGGGATTTCGAATCTGCGTCTTCTTGTTCTGGGTTCTTACGAGACCCGGGTTCAGATTCAAATTCGGAATCCGGATTTGGAGGATCTGGTTCATCAGAGAATACGGACTTGAAGAAATTCATGGACCTTTTGGGGAAGCAGAGAGATTGAGAATTACCAGAAAATGGGAGAGAGAGAGAGAGAGAGAGAGAGAGGGGCTGGAGTAGGACTGAGGTTATCGAAATGGAAATTTAGAAAAAGTGCCTGAACGGTGCGCTTTGGTGCGCAGTGCGCATCAGTGAGGGTGGATTTCAGGCTGATATATGGGCTCATCTCAGCATGCAGATAGCAAATTGATTGGTTCTGGATGGGAGGCCCATCTATGCCCATGGGCCTATGGATTGAAAGCCATAGGGCTATGGATTGTAGGACTATGGGTCTATCGTTTGTAGGCCCATTGTATTTGCAATAGAATACCCCAAATGAAGTGAGGCTATAATGTGAGGATCCTTAATAATAGTTATCCAATGAACAAAAAATGTTTAAATTTAATAATTTTATTATTATTGGACGGTTGGATTGAACTCCTCAACACGCTCCCTCAACATAGCCTCGCCAATATAGAAGCTTCCCGAAAATGGTGAGAGTTTGAAATCTTTCATAGGTCTTGTAGTCTAGACCATATTCCAATTGACAAGCTATAACAAAGCATCTCAAGTCTCAAGGTTTAAGGAAGTATGTGAAAGTAACATTCTTCCCTTTGGTTTGGATTAAAAGACAAAAGCATTCATTCTTCCATCAAAGTAACATTATTCTTTACTTTTGGTTACCATGTTTCCAAGCATGGAATCACACATCAAATCATCCCATCACTTTTTAGTTTGTTCAATACATAGAAATCACCATCTCACCATTTTTAGCCTCTAGCTAGGAGCTCTACTTCTCTAGCGTTTTCTCCTTTGAAAACCAAGCAACAATGCAGGAGAAAGGCAACCCTTCCCAGCCAATTGGCATCTGCCACCGGCTCATCACCTTCATCATGAACAGCCACATTGCTAGAAGCCTTGTCAAGCGTGTGACCTTAGGCCATCCAATTCCTCAAGACCTACAGCCTATGATCCCAGCAGCCAACCCTAATGGGGCTGGTCAGACTATGTACCTTCAGGCTCTCCAGACACCGGAAAACGAATCAGTTTTTGAGATTCAAATTCACTACAAGCAAACCGATGAGGACTTTGAAGAATCATGGACCGAAGTTGACAAGTTGGGTCCAATAGAGAGAACAGAGGAGGCAGAGATTCAAGACAAGGGTCCACGAGAGGTGAAGCTCATTTCCACAGCCACATCCCAAGCAAAGGAGCCAAAGAAGAGGTTGAGCATTGAAGATGAGGGAGAGTTAGAGAAAGAGAAAGAGAAAGAGAAGAACAATAAGAAGAAAGGAAAGGGTGTGATTAGTGGTGAAAAGTTGACGCTAGCAATGGAGGCTGAAGATGAGATTTCAAGGCTTGGGTTGAGGCGTGTAAGGCCACTCTTTCATGTTGCGCCAAACATAAATGAAAAATCAGATGCGTTTATTCGGAGTAGAAAGGAAGCTATGAGGAGGAACTATGGCCTTGAGCCAAGGATATCTTAGTCTTCTTGGCTACATGTGGCGGTTGGTGCGGTGGCTCGCGGCCGGGGTTGTGCATCCATTGGGTAAGGCTGTCACGATGATTAGGTTGCGAGCAACTATGGTGAAAAGGTTATGCTATAGTATATGTATCAGAATAAAAAGATTAAAGTAACAATGTTCATTGAATTTTATATAAAGATACATTATATTGAAGGTTTTCTTAGAAAGGATTCGGATTCTAAGTTTTCTAGCTAAGATCTGCTTAACTTTTTCCCTCTATCCGAAAACAAATATATAAGGACGACAAAGTGGGCATTCTAATATATTTTGTTTTCTTTGTTTTCTTGTAGTTTTATATATGACATGCTCATAGATAATACACAAAGTTTATCTTTCAAAACCTTTTGCCTTTTCGGGGTCTGAAAAACCAATTCATATCAGCATTCACTATCGAAACTGCTAGGAAGAAGAACTATAACACAATGACAGAAATCAGAAAATTGATATGCAGAATATCCGAGACTGGATATTTTCTAATTGAAATTATCGAGTGGCTCCCATCAAAATGTCGCCAATATAGTAAGCAACCTAATCTTGGTGGTATAAAGACTTAAGCTTTTGAATTAATTTTGGAGGCTCAGTGGCTCATCATCTTATCAAACTGTAAGACGCTACAAGAAGGTACAAAAAAGACTATCAAAATTTAAAAAAAAAACAAAACAAAAACAAAAACTACGTACCAACACAATGTTAGGCTAAATAAACTTAATAATATACACTCCATATATATAGAAATAATGTTCAGAGGGCCCGCATAGAAACTCTGGTAAGAGGATCTTCTGGTGATCGAAAGCTATCATACCATGCCGATAACATTCTCAACAGAAGAAGAAAAAGAAAAACTCAAATAATTTGCAGTCTTCCTCCATGAAATCCTCTCCTCCAAGCATGAAAGGCCATAACCATTATAAACAAATATAAGGTTCTTCTCCTTCTGTAATTAACCAGCTTCAACCCCAAATTAAGTTACTTCACAAGTCTTACTTTCCTTCTATAATTTTTCTTGAACTTTTTTTTTCCTTAATTGGTCTAAGATAAATTTAAAAAAAAAAAAAAAAAAGGTATAGCACTTACCCATTAACCACCTTCTTTCTCTTCTAATTAATTAAACTCCCTTATCCCCATATTGTCCCAAATTGATCCAATTGAGCCAATTGAGCCAAAGCTCTACCTCATTACTCATTGCATATATCTTTTCACTTTCATCTCATTCTTCCAAGTAATGAGCTGATGAACGGTAAAGATCATATGGGGCCCAAAGATGATCAACGGTGCAGGGCTTTCTTGAATCTAACCTCAACCAGGGCTTCCCTTTCCCACTCCAATGCAACAGGCTTATTGGCCCAGGATGCAAACTCCTACACTTACCTTCAAGATTGTCCCCACCAAGCCCATGTTGGTTCCACCTATGATCCACTGCCCTAATATCCCCAGCCAAAACCAGCAAAAAAGGTGGCAAAGACCCCAAATGGTATATCCTCTTTTGCTTTTGCACTACCATCCACTCCTCCATTTGCTTTGTGTACTCTCCTTGTCTCCATTTTTCCACATCCACCACCATAACCCCTGTGTTAAAATAGCAAGGCTTTCTGCCTTCAAATGTCTTGGAAAACATTTGGTCTGACCAGAACGATTCTGTGAAATATTTGGAGAAGTTTGCGTGACAATATTCTGGTGCAGCCAGTACCTTGCCTTGCAAGTCAACCTTCCATAACTTTGCTACATCATCCACAACCACAAGGTCTGAGTCTAGGTATAGAACCCTTTTCACATCAGCTGGGATCATGTCAGCTAGGTATATGCGTGCATAGTTTAAGGGTTGGTCCAAGGCTTGGCGTATAGACTTTGATATTTTCCCACGAACCCTATTGGAATCAAAGCGGTAGACATTGAACTTTAGGTATGGGAAGGCGGATTTGATGTTGGAGAGTACCTCAGGCTCGAACCTGGCCCAGAGAAAGTGGAACTCAATGAATTCGGGGCATGTTGAATGTTGCAAAATCGAAAGCACAGCGGCCATGGTGCCTCTTAGGTAGTTAGAGTCCAGTGTCATGGCAATGTGGATTTTCTCTGCAGGCTGGCAGGCATCCCCATTTCGAAAAGCAGGGGCTTCTCGGAAGATGGCAACATCCAGGGAGGGTTTCCGGATGATGCCAAGGCGGATACCTGTGGTGGCGGAAGCGAGGGTGATGAGGGGGAGGATGAGGAGGAGAGACAGGAGGCCACGAGTTTTCGCAGAGGCCATCCTGCCCTTAATGGTAACAAAAGTGGTTGGGGGGGTCAAGGATGAAGAGGAGGACCAGGGAGAGTGGTAGCCATTACTAGGCTGGTTGAGAGAAAGTTTAGGGGGAGAGGTTAGAAACTAATGATTGTTATACAAATATTCGGTGGGATTGTGAGGAAGAGAAGATTCCTCGGAGGCTTTTGTAATAAGGTTAAGGTACCACCCCCTGTCACGAAATCATGCACATAGCTAGGCCAAATTACCCAAAATTATTAATGTTAAGTAATTAATTTTATTTCTTGATTTGAATTTTTTAGTCCGTTTGATATCTACCTTCCATATTTTTTTGCCTCCTTATCCTTAAGAGGGCAAGAAGGCCAAATTTTGACTCATAATAACATCTTTCGTACTTGGACTTTCACAAAGATATTCTCTAGTCAAACAATAATCAAAGTTTTTGACATTCATAATGGAACTTTCGGGTTTTTTTTTTCTTCTTGCCCTCTTTGTTCTCTGAACAAAGATCATAGTGTCAGGCACCTTTCTTATGTGCAAGGCAAGTTTTAATTAACACGGATACATGCTTAATTCCTAAGCGCAAGCCAAATTTTTTTATATCCTTTTCCGGTTACAACAAATAGCAGAAGTACTTCCTATACAAGCAGTTCCAAACGTACTTTAAGCTCTAAAGCATAATAGTAACTGTAGTCTGTAATAAGCAACATAATATATCAGTACAAAAAATGTAAACCTTTTAAAAAAGATAATAGAAAAATGCAACCAATATTGGGGGCTTGAAGTTCTACTGTGTCTGAACTTAGCAAGGCCCCGCCGTCCATTCCAATGTGGGCTTCTTTTCGTCATTTGTTTATTGGGTCTAAAAATGTGGAGAGCCTTGGGTCCATGCAATGATCTAAAAACTCAGGCTAGGGTTCAATTAGGGGTTTTCGTCTCCCTCTTCCACTGTGAGAAAGATGAGAGAGCTACAGCTTTCGTTGAACCAAACCCAGAAGGTTCGGCTACAGAGAGCTCTCGAAAAGCTTGAGTCTCTGTCTTCAAAGGCTAATTCCAATGCTTCTGTTACTGTCGCCGATTCAATCCCTGTTAACTACGAAGACGGCCTTCTCAAGTACCTCTCTTCTCTCTGTCTTTAAAATGCTTGGCATGAATTTGAACTTGGGTTTTCTGTCAATTTTGATTTTTCTCCGTAAAACCGTTTCTGGGAAACTCAGTTTTCATGTAAATTCAGGGGACATGGGACCTCTGAATTCAATGGTGAAGTTGTTGCCACCGTTTGCGGTATCGTCGAGCGCGTCAATAAGCTGGTCTATGTGCGTGCTCTAAGGGCCAGGTACTCACTAATTCTCTGTGTTACTTTTTTTTTTCCCCCCGATAATTTTTATGGAAACTTTGCTCCTTGGTGCTTATGGAATTATCAAAAAACAAAAATGATGGTAGGTACAAGCCAGAGGTTGGAGATATCATAGTGGGGCGTGTTATTGAGGTAAAAGAAAGGAATGCTTAACCCCCTTTTAGTTCATTTTGTTTAAAATTTGATTTTTGATGCTTTGTTTTCTTTGTTGAGATATGTTTAGTTTTATGGGTCTTGTTATAATCTGATAATTGTTTATTGTTCAGGTTGCTCCAAAGCGTTGGAGAGTGGAGATAAACTATAGCCATGATGCAGTGTTGATGCTTTCTTCAATGAACTTACCTGACGGCATCCAGGTATAACTGTTAGCCCGAATATAACATGCATCAGTAGTGATAAATTTCCTTTACCAGAGAAGCAAGCTAACTAGTAATGGTGATATTGAAGATATTGACACAAGGCACGGAGTTCTGTTCTATAGAATTCATGTAAATCTGTTAGATGGTCTGGTTTCTTTGTTTGAACTTTTGTTTATCAATCTGAAGGCTGACGCAAATTGTGAGTTGGAAGTATGGAATGGAAATTCTTTCCTTTTGATCCGCTAAAGTCTGTTTCTTTAGATAACTAGTGGATATTCCACCAACTGGGAAAAGATGTATTGAGTATTAGTATTACATGAATATAGTTAGAGACCATCTTTTGGCATTTTCAAGGGCATTTTCAAGGGAAAACGCATTTGAGCAACTCTGTTATTAATTATAATATAAAACGTAAGGAAAATTGCATTTTCCCTTGCTATTCCCTCGTTTAAGTTTTACTCCTTCATTGCTAGAGGCGACGAACTGCTCTGGATGAACTCAACATGCGCAGCATTTTTGAGGAGAATGATGTCATTTGTGTAAGTCCTCTAACATGTATTACTGGCCTAATCGAATCATGAAAAAAGAAAGGAATAAGTTAAGAACTGATCCAGTGTTGCAAATACTTGCCCTTTTCCAGGCTGAAGTTCGTGGTTTTCAACATGATGGTTTACATCTCCAAGCAAGAAGTCAGAAGTATGGAAAGGTTTGTCTTCTTTTTATGTATTGAATGTTAGAAGGATGCTTCTGATCATTATCTTACTTGAGCTTGCTTATCTTGCATTCTATTTGGCTGTTATGGGATATTTTCGTCGTCATTTTTGCTTCCCTCAATCAATTTTAATTTGCGTTGCTTTCATTGCATCCATCTGATGTGGTCTTATGATTATCCGTTGTTTTGTTATTGGTTTTCATTATGATTATAACCTGCATTGCAGCTTGGAAGGGGTCAATTGCTGACAGTCCCTCCTTATCTGGTGAAAAGACGCAAGCAGCACTTCCATCATTTAGAAAATTATGGTATTGACCTGATAATTGGCTGTAATGGATTCATCTGGGTTGGGGAACATGTTCAAGTGACAGACGATATGGTAGTGGATCAAGTGAACAAGTCTGAACAAGATGATGCCAAACCTGATGAAAATTCCATTAGTCCTGAAGATCAAGAGAAAAACTACACTCGGCAAGAGACAAGAGAGAACATATGCAGGGCTGCAAATGCTATCCGCGTATTGTCTACTTTAGGCTTCAATATTACTGTAGAAGTAATCACAGAGACGGTGGATTTGAGCACTTCTATAAATGTTGCTATACATGAAATGCTCGGTTCAGAGTTCTATGTTTTGGTTGCAGAGAAGGAGTCTGTAAGGCGAAGCATGACAAAAAAAAAGTGATGACTGTGTGTCCACTTGTGAATTCTGTTATAAGAGAGTTGTTCGTCCTTAATCCTTTTCTTTTATCTTCATATTTTATACAGTCAAACGTATTTTTGGAGAACCAGTGAACAGAAGAGTTATGTTGATGTCTAAAACGTTTGACTTGGCATTTTGCAAATCGCAAAACCTCTGAGAATTGTATTAGTGCTTGTAAAACCAAACAAAAATTTAAAATTGTATTACTGCTTGTAAAAACGGTTTGGGCTTAGAAATGTACATTGAATAACCTGTGAGAATAATTGCTACAATTAGAAATCCAGTAATTTATCACGTTCTCCACTGCTCAAGCAAAAACAAGCTCTGATATTGTGACCAAAAGTACCAATTTCTCTCAAAAGATAATGAGACTAGATACTCTACAATGCAATGTTTCTCAGATATCATAGCTTGTCCTTTGGTGGAGGTTCGACTTCAAGACACTCTTCATCCGAGTAGTAGGAACTTTAATTTTGCTGCAGTGTGAGGCATGAACCGGTCCTCATATATGAACCTGAAAGCAAGGAAAGAACTTAGAAGCATCATTCAAGCAAAATGAAAAAGTAAAAAATAAAACATAGAAAGTGTAATAAAATTGAACCATCCTTGGCAATCCAAAAATGAAGAAATAAAAGATGAAAGAAGATAGATTGCATACACTTTAACTGGGGGACGCCTTTTCACTTGTATGCAGGCTTCAACATTGTCTTGCTTTATGCATATCAGCTACATGTGGAGTTTCCAGATATGTTACAATGGATAGCTGATTTCATTGGTCTATTCAAGATAACTTTTCATTCGGATTGGACTGAAGTTTGTTCGAGCTTCTCTCTTTTACTTTTCTACATCATGGTACGTCTATCTTTTATGACATCTACAAATCCAACACAGTTTATGTAGCAGGATACTTGAAAACCAGTGGCTTCAGCATCTCTACAGTGTAGGTTCTGCAAGTTGATCATGCAGATTTGGATTATGTGCAACAGAGAATCTTATGTTAATTATTAAATGTGTGTGTCATCCTTTTGTTTTGCTTAGTAACTCAGGTAAATGTGATAGCATGATTCTGCATTAGTTTTTCTTTTGTTTTCGTTGTCAAAAATGCTAAGTGCATGCTATATGGATGATGCCAGTGCAACTTGCCATTGCAATGTTCATTCTGTATGACAGCCTTGGTGCAGCAGTGATCACATCTGTAGTAGGAATCGAGTGTGTTCTTGTGTTTGTTGTGCTGGGCACGAGACGGAACAACAGGTTCCAATCTAATGTGATGAAGTGTCGGGATTCAAGAATGAAGGCAACAAATGACATTAACTACATGCGTGTGATCAAATTCCAGGCTTGGGAGGAGCACTTTAATAAGAGAATCCAGGCTTTCCGCAAGTCGGAGTTTAGCTGGCTGACCAAGTTCATGTACTCAATCTCTGCCAATGTTGTGGTTATGTTGTGTACCCCAGTACTTATATCAACTCTCACATTTGGCACTGCACTCTTATTGGGTGTCCGGCTTGATGCCGGCCCAGGACATTGTTCAGAACCACAAGCATCTTCAACATTTTGTGGGATCCCATCAGGACCTTCCCACAATTTATGATTTCAATTTCTCAAGCTATGATATCTTTTGGGAGGTTGGACCGTTATATGATGAGTAGGGAATTGGTGGAGGATGCGGCGAAGAGAGACGAGGGTTGTGATAGTAGAACTGCTGTGGAGGTTAAAAATGGCCCATTTAGCTGCGATGATGAAAGCAAAGAAGAGGATTTGAAACACATAAATTTGAATGTCAATAAAGGGGAGCTAACGGCTATTGTAGGGATAGTGGGATCTGGAAAGTCTTCCCTTCCAGCCTTAATTCTTGGTGAGATGCACAAGTTATCCTTAAAGGTATGATTTGATACCATTATTCTAGATGTCTCTTGTGACATAAAATCCCTCCACTGAACCATAAGTTTATAACCA